TTATGGACCACCGAGACAAAGGATAGTTTCCTTGGTGGCTCATAAACTCTCAGGAATGGCTCCAGGCATGAACCAAACTTCCCAGGACTTTCCTGGGCTATATCAGCAGAGACTCACATTACAGATTTTTGTCCCTACTTGCAGATACTGGGGAAAATTCTCCATAAGAAATCCTGAAATCCAAAAGAACATTGTCTAGGTTCTTTAAGGCTTGTCTCAACACAAGTCTTAACACAAGTAAATGAGGTGTTGGCTAAGTCCATGTGGAAGAAGCACACCTGTCTGTGTGATCCAAGGATTGTAAATAAGAAAATACAAATCTCAAGGAGGGAATGGTATTAGAGCTTAAGTTGTGAACACCCAGTCTTCAGAAGGCTAAGGATGACACGGGAAATCCAATCCATTTACATGGTCCCCACAAGAATTAAGACCATGATGAATCCCCTCTGAATATAGTCAAGGGATGTGAATAGCCTTACAGTGAGACAGAGAGCATTGTAAAGTCAATTATGGCAGATATAGTTAAGTTAAAATGTAATGCCTTATCATTTCATCTCCTTTTTTCCCCCCAACAGTTTTATTGGCATATAATTCATATGTCATAAAATTCAATAGTTCACTATCAAGAAGAGTTGTACAAGCATCACCACAATCAGTTTTAGAACATTTCCTTATTCTTGTACTTACTGTTTTTAGCTCCCCATTTCCTCCCAACCATCCCTGCCATACCCCCAAGGAACCATTACTGCCTTTATAGACTTAACTATCCTGGATTTCATAAACAGTAAAACATTAAAAAAGAAACAAAAAACTAACAAGAATAACAAAGTCAAACACATGAAAACCTCAATTAAGAAGCACAAAATGTTAAAAAGTAGAACAAATTTAAATGGATCATGAAGAAATCAAATGATAGGGTGCTAAATTTTAACCTTACTGTATCAGCAACTATCCACTATCCGATGCATTCTGCATGTTAGCAAGGCTATTCACATCCCTGGTCCATGATCAAAAGAGATTCCCCAGGGTATGCACATCTATTTCCCCTTCACTTTCTTATTGCATTTCATTCTGTTGTTTATTATTATTAATTGGGAGTTAGTACTTATATCATAATTCAATCGTGTCAAGTAGCATTGTACAATTGCTGCCACAGTCAATTCCAAACATTCTTTTTCTTCTTGGACTCCTTGACATCATCTACTTTTTCCCCACCCCGCCACCCCCCAAAACCAACATCTTTGTTATACTTATTGTCCCTATAGGTTCATCAATTCTGGGTTTCATTCCCTTCACTTTATCTTCTCTGCCTTCTTTTTTTAACTGAAACAGTTTTAAAATGGGTCATAAAGGACACTTGTTCTCCTTTAGACCCATTTTAAAGTTGTTTGTTTTTAATATTTTTCTACTTTCTTTTCTATTGAGGTTTTTCTATGTTTTGCTTAGTCATTGTTGTTGGTTGTTTGTTTGTTTGTACCCGTTTGTGTTTTGTATGATTTGCTGCATATGAGATCAAGGATAGGTAGATATATAGCTACAACTGAATCAATCATTAATTTCCTAGGGACATGGTAAGAGAGGGTGGAGGAAATAAGGAGCTAACAACAGTAAGTATGAAAAGAAAATGTTCTGTAGTTGGTTGTGGTGGTGACTGCACAACTCCTCTTAGATGACAACGACTAAGTTGTATGATATGTGACGATGGCACCAATAAAACTACTTAAAATACCCTGTACCTAGGCATCTGGCCAGACACACTGAAAGGCATAGAAGTTTGCAGAAGTGTACTTGCAGAAAATTATCTCATATGTGCCTACCAATTTGTCCCTTCCAGCTCTCCTCTCGTTGAGCAATACTAACAAGCCCTATAAAAGATCAAAACCCTGTGGTCTCCAGCAAACTGAGACAAAGGGCGATTTCCCCCTCTGTTGGCATATACCATCTTATACAAAGCAGGACAGCTAGTCAGTCCCTCAATCTTTTTCAATACTGTTGAAACATTGCTCAGTTTAAACTTGCAGCCCTTTCTTCCCAGGACCCACATATAAGTCTATGGGATTGGGTTCGAGAGGAATTAGAGTGACCACCACCGTACTCTACTAAGAATCACCCCTCTTTTCCTCTGCCAAGTAAAGGCTTTGGTTCCAGATCAGGCTTTTTGTACTCGTTTCTTCTTTCTTCAGAATAAGTTTTAATTAAAATTCTAGTGGCCTTATGCACCAGTTTACAACACATGGCCAAAGCATCGAGGCAAAACGAGGACCCGCAATGAGAGTCCTGAGCTCTGTGTCACAGCCCCTCTTGTCTTTTCTTCCTTTACTGGCTCCCAGCTTCTCTCCGTTATTTCTCTCCTACCTGGGAGTTGTTACTCTGCTCTGCTCCTGCTTTAGTATGTCGTCATACGCATTTAATTTAAAGACATTTTTAACTTCAGTTACTTTATACCAAAATGCACTGCCACTGACTTGATTCTAATTCATAGCAACCTTATATAGGGTTTCCAAAAGCAACTGGTGGTGGATTTGAACCACTAACCTTGTAGTTAGCAGCCCATCAGCCAATCTACAGCACCACCAGGGCACCACAAGGGCTCCTTACTTATTTCATATACATTTTAAACCTTGAATTGGAACCAGTTGTTGAATTGATCAAAGGTTGATTTGTAAAATAATGTTTGTTTGGGACAGAGGAAGTAGAGCCCATCCAAGGATTAATATAACAAAAACAAACCAAAAAGACCTTACTTCAAGCCAATTTGGATTGTCTAGAACCGCCCCCTTGAGTTTCTAAGGCTTTATCTTTAGAGTCAGCCAGCCACATCTTTTCCCATGGAGTTGCTAATGGATTCAAATTAACAGCCTTCTGGTTAGCAGCCAAGTACTTTACCTACTGCATTCAAGGCCTCCTACTCTGCTGATGCCAAATTTCATGACTTTCAACCACCTACCTCTCTCTGAAGACAGACCTCCTCTGTCTTCCAAACTTCTATTCCCCTTTGTTGTGAATTAGCTGTAACCAGTTCTGCTTTCTGGTCTTCTGAGGGAAGAACAACTTAAATTGATGTACTCTCCCATGGGACAGAGTGTGTGAGCAGCACCAACCCCGAGGGTCAGTAAATGATAGCTGGTGCTAAAGACAGTAGAAAAGGAAGTGGGTGCTTTCTAAACACAAAGCAAGACTTCTTAGGCCACATAATCTTTTAAAGTCTCTAAGCCTGGTCAGACCCTCAGGATGTCCTGGAAAGTAGCCAGTCAAAACAATGGCTGAAGTAGGAACTCCTGGGAAAGGGAGTGTTCCCTGGGCCTTTCAAGGTAATGAAGTCTAGAAAATACCTTCCTTAGCGTTATGAATCGGAAAAGTAGTGAAATCACAGACTATTTCCAATCCTCACAAGCTAAAATGGCTGATTACATAATGGAATCTGGGGTTTGCGTTTTAAAACAAGTTTTCCTATTTAAAATTATGCTTTCTGTGAAATGCTGAAGGACTTAGACAAAATCTGTACTGTGAGTTCTGTGTGTGTACCATTATTATCCTGTTTCTTCTAATATAGTTATTAATTAATGAACATTGACCATTAACTAGGGTACATTTCTAAAAGATTTAAAATCACAAAAGAAAAAAAATGATTTAGAAGTTATATAAAAATAAAACTACTGGCCTGGATAGTTTTTAAAAATGTAAGTAAAATATCTTTGGCCCATTTTAAAGCTGTGTCAGTGTTTTTGTTTTGTTTTTAAGTAAAGGAGAAATACACATGATTAAGACCCTGGTGAATCCTCTCTGGCCATGGACCAGGGATGGGAACAGCCTTGCTAACGTGCAGACTGCATTGGGAAGTGGATTATTACAGATACAGTTAGGTTAAAATTTAACACCTTATCGTTTGATCTCCCTCTAATGTTTAATATTTTCTGCTTTCTTTTCAATTGAAATTTTTATCTATTTTACTTGTTATTCTTGTTAGTTTTTTTTAACTTTGTTTTGAAATGTTTTTCTACATATGATAGGTAAATCTATAGAGACAGTAATTGAATTAATGGTTCCTTAGGGGTGTGGCAAGGACCTTTGGTAGTGTAGTGGTTATGCATTGGGTTGTCATCTGCATGGTCAGCAGTTCAAAACCACCGGTTCCAAACCACTTTCTCTGAGGGAGAAAGACTGGGCTTTCTACTCCCATAAACAGTTATAGTCTTGGACCTACAGGGGGGTCACTATTCAATGACAGCAAGTTTGTTTTGGGGTTTGTGGGGTATGGCAGGGGAGGTTGGGGGAATTGGGAAGCTAAAAACAGTGAGTATAAGAACGAAGAAAAAGTTCTAAAATTGTGGTGATAATTGTGCAGCTCTTTTTAATATGATTGAACTATTGAATTGTATAATATGTGAATTATATGCCAGTAAAACTGTTAAAGATTTAAAAATTTTTTCTACTTGTATCTTATTCAAGAATTAGACTCAGAAATTATGTATAGACAGAATTACCCTTGAAAGCTCCTTAGGAACACGGAGTACGGAAATCCAGCAGTCAATAATAAAGAATCAGAGTATGTGTTTGCCTTATGTTTAAAAGCTGTATTGTTTCTTAGAATATACACTGCCTTCAAACCCTGACTCTTTGTGGGGAAGTGCTCAGACTAAGGCATATACTCTAGAATAGCAAGCAGAATTGCCTATTATATTTCTACAGAAAATAAACAGTTTTTTCTAAGTGTATTGTAGTTGAATGTGTGATGATTTCATAAATGGGAGAGAGATGAAACTTTTTACTCCCATAAAAAGTGAGCCACAGAAACCCACAGGGGCAGTTCCACCCTGACCTGTAGGGTCACTACAAGTCAGACTCGGTTGGCTGGCAGTGAGTGAGTCAGGATTTCATAAAGACAAATCCAAATAATAAGCTTATATATTTATGTGAAAATTGTGCCTGAATTTTTGAATATTTTTGTCACCCACAAAGGAAAGAATGATGCTATACCACCACCCCTTTATTCTCCACAGGTAATGGATTCTGAATTAATTGATAGTATAGTCGGAAGCTATCTTAAGCCTCCAGAAAGAGTGTTGGCTCCGTCATTCACCCAGTATGAGCCACCTCCGAACTACTACCCTGTGAATGTCGAAGTTAGTCCTCCTAAGATGCTTCACAGTCCAAATAGCCAAGGTAATCACAGCATAAATTCATATGTAAGATTAAGAGCGTGTAGAAAACATTTCATGTAAAACCTTTCATTTTCTGTAGGAAAATTAGCAATACGATTGTATATTTATTTAAACTTACTGACACTTATTTTGATTGCTGAAAGTTTCTGTGAACTCAGACAAGACATTTAACATGTTATTTCAACTTAACACAATCCATGCAACATATGTTACAGGTCCATCATAAAAAAATACATTATGTAACAGTAAAGTAGTATCTGAAGTATAAAGATCACATTTTAAATCTTCTGAACTAGATATTTAGAATGCTAGTATATTCGTGGAATTGTATCTTATTCAAAGTTAGATTCAAAAGTTAAATACTTTCAAAATCACCCTTTAAAATCCTAGGCAGTACATTGGAATAACTACCAAAAATTTTAAAGTAACTTTTTAAATGCAAATTTAGGAAGATTTTAAAACTGAATTAGTAAACTGCGTGACTACATTATATGCTACACACATTACTTTTTCAGGTACTGATTACTGTGCCATATTTTGATATTTTGTACTAAAGGCTGTCATTAATAGACCTGTTTTACAATTAGAAATGCCCCAGTTGTAAATACTTCATGCCCCAGGAATCTCTTTACTTGGTATATGTCATAAAGAAGCAAGAGTCATACCACGAACAGACATATGCACACCCTTGTTCATCACAGCACTGTTCACAACAGCAAGAAGATGGAAGCAACTTAAATTCTCATCAGCAGAAGAATGGATAAAGAAACTGTGATACTTACACACAATGGATACTATGCATCACTAAGGAATAATGAAACTGAAATATGTCATGGCTTAGACGGTATTGGGGAACATTATGATGAATGAAATTAGCCAATCACAAAAGGACAAATATTATATGAGGCCACTGTTATAAAAGAAAAATCACGACAAGGGGTTTCATACCAAAAGAAACAGACTTTGATGGTTACCAGGGATGACAGAGGAGGAGAAGGAAGGGGAAGCAGTAAGCTAGAGCCTAGATTCTCAAACGTACTTGGCCTAATGCCCTCCTTTCAGGAAGAATATTACTCAGCACCCTCCTTAGACAGTGAAAAAAACATCTGACTCTAGCCCATAATCCTGGATAATCCAGTGTAGGTACTGTTTTTGCAGCCCCTCCTGTAATGACTCAGCAGCCCCAGGGCCCTGGTATTGCCTCTTTGGGAAGCTCTGGGCTTGAGAGTAGACAGGTATTAACTTGGGTAAAGGGGAAGATAGTATTCTATGAACGGGAGAAGGAAAAGAAGTGGAATGGAACAGGGTAAGCTTTGGGGAAGTTTGATAGGTAGCTTAAGTTATTGAATGCAAATCTGATGATCTGAAATATAACCCCCCAGAAAATTCACAATATAAAGTTTTTTTTATAAAGCAGACCAGGAAAATAGATCTAGGAAGCAAAGCTATGGATAGAGGTATAAGCATAGGTGTGCACATATGTAAATACATTAATTCATAAAAATAGAGGTATTGGCCTAGGTACATTTATTTATATGGTAATGCACTGAGGGAGTGGACGGACCTCAGGCCTCTGCTCAAGCCCTTCCTCAATGCAAGAACACTTTATTCTAACAACCTGTCACTCTGTGATGCTCACCCTCCCAGCACAATCACTGAAGACAAAATGGTACATAAGCAAATGGGGTGAAGAAAGTGGATGATGCCTGGCTATCAAATGATAGAGTGTCTGGGATCTTAAAGGCTTGAAGTTAAACAAGCAGCCATCTACCAGAGAAGCAACAAGCTCACATGGAAGAAGCACACCGGCCTGTGTAATCGTGAGGTGTAGACAGGATTGGGTAACAGGCATCAGAAGACCCAAACCAAACAAATAAACCAAAAAAAAACCCATATTGTTGAGAAAGAGGGGATTCGGAGCAGAGACCCAAAGTCCATCTGTAGATAATGGGACATCCCCTCACAGAAGGGTCATAAGGAATGGATGAGTCAACCAGGGCGCAATATAGCACTGATGAAACACACAATATTCCTCTGGTTTCTTGAGGCTTTCTCACCCACCACTATCATGACCCCATGACTGCCTTTCACTGGGGACTAGACTGGAGCATGTGCACGGGTACAGATAAGAGATAAGAGCTCCGACACATGGAATCCAGGAATAGGAATGGGAATAGCAATACCAAGCGGGTAGAGGGAAGGTGGGGAGTTCTCGGAGGAGGAAGGGGGAACTGATCACAATGATCAACACTAACCCCTCCCCCCAAGGAAGATGAACAACAGAAACCATGGGGGAAGGGAGACAACAGTAGGTGTAAGATATGTGTGTTAGTCTGGGTACATTAGAGAAATAAATCCACAGAAACTCATATGTATAAGAGAGAATTTTATATAAAGGGTAAGTGCACATCAAGAAAACATCCCAACCCAGTGCTGCCCAAGCCCATAAGTCCAACATTAGCCCATTTGTCTGGCACCAATGCATTTGTCTCCTCCATCTCACAAAACATACACAATGATGCCAAGTGCAGGAGGAAAGCTGAATCCATGAATGTGTAAGCATCTCAGCGCTGGCAGGGGTCTCCACATGGCTGCTCAGCACCCAGGGCTGCATTGGGGTAGGTCCATGTGGCTTCTCCTCAGGGATGTCGTGCAGGAAGTGAGCCTTGCCAGCTGAAGCAGGGAACTGGCTAAGGCAGCTGCACCCTGGTCCGACCATCAGAAGGCAAGAGACCCGAGAACTAGAAAGGCGAGGTTCACTGAGCCATTTATCTCTCCGCCCTTTAATTAACCCCACATGGGTTTATCGGCCAGGTTGGCACAATAAACTAACTCAGTATGAAAATAATTTATAATTTATCAAGGGGTCATGAGGGGGGTCGGGGAGGGAGGGGAAAAAAGGAGTTGATACCAAGGGTTCAATAGAAAGTAAATATTTAGAAAATAATGATGGCAACATATGCACAACTAAGACACCCCCCCCCAATGAAATGATCTTTTAATTAAAAAAATAGACCAGGTTTATGGAATAAAACTATGACAAGAAAAAGTAATTATCCAAATTAGTGAGCCAGTTACAGAGATCATGTAAAGCAGTTGCCATTGAATCAATCTGACCCATGTGTATCAGAGTAGAACTATATTCCATAAGGTCTGCAATCGCTGAGTTTTGGAAGGAGATCACCAGGCCTTCTAAAGCAGCAGTTCGCAACCTGTGGGGCGTGACCCCTTTGGGGCTCGAACAACCCTTTCTCAAGGGTCACCCGATTCATAACAGTAGCAAAATGACAGTTATGAAGTAGCCATGAAAATAATTTTGTGGTTGAGGGGTCGTGGCATTAGGAAGGTTGAGAATCACTGCTCTAAAGCTTCTGGGTGGACTTGAACCACCAACCTTTCAGTTAGCAGCTGAATGCATTAACCATTTGCATCACCCTGGGACTCCTTAGATATACAAAGAGTCTTAAGTGTCATGTCTTTATCTCATTTGTAAAAGCCAAACAAAAAACTCTAGCAAACACCTTTTTAATTATCTATAAACTATATGAAAGTTAGCCAATGACAATTAGTCTATAGTTTGATAGTTTAAAAATGAATTTACAACCTAGTAGACTGTATAAAATATTTTAAATGTTATAACTATGAATTTATCCAAAATAAGGAGATTTTATAAAGCTAAATAAAGATCAGTAATACATATTCACTACGTATAGTTGTTCAATCCTAACACAAATAAACAAATAATATATTTTTATCTAATGGAAGAAACTACGGTTTACCTCATAGATCCTCATTATTAACACTTTATCTTGCACTTCAATACACTAGATGTTTGTGTTTTGACCAAAACAGAACATATGAAAGATAGAAAACAATCTTTAACTTTAAATATAAACTTTCCTGTTAACCCACTATTGTCCGCTCCATTCCAGCTCATAGTGACCCTGTAGGATGGAGTAGAACTGTGTCATTGGGTTTCCACGGCCATAAATGTATTGAAGCAGATTGCCAAATTTTCCCCAGAGAGACTAATGGTTCAAATTACTGACCTTTTAATTCCTAGCCAAGTACTTTAACCACTGTGCCAATAGGACTCCTAAGTATATCCATATCCAGACCCTCATAACAGCCTCCCTTGCCTGTTCCCCCCAAGACTTTTTATAGTCTTTGGAGATATGAAAATACTTTATTAAATTAGTATTGCAGTCAGATATCAAATGATTTGGGGCATATCTGCTATGAAAGACTTCCTTAAAGTGTTAAAAAAACAAAGATGGCACCTTGGAGGACTAAGGTGGCCCTGACCCATGCCATGTTTTTTCCAATCACCTCACATGCATGCAAAAGCTGAAGAATGAGGAAGGAAAGCCAAAAACTGATGCATCTGAATTATGAAGGCATTGAAGAATGTTGCCCATGACATGGACCGCCAGAGAATGAACAAAGCTGTTTTGGAAGGAGTACAGCTAGAATGTCTTTAGAAACAAGGATGGTGAGACTTTTTGTCTCGTGGATTTTGGATTTTGGACATGTTGTGAAGAGAGACCATTCCCTGGAGAAGGACATCGTGCTAGGTAAAAGACAGGGTCAGCATGAAAAGGAAAGCCCTTAAAGAAACAGATTGATACAGTGATGCAACAATACGCTCATGTACGGCAGCTAGTATGAGGATAGCACAGGACAGGGCAACATTTTCTTCTGCGGTACAAAGGTGTGGTGTGTTAGGCTGGGCTTTCTAGAAAAAGAAAACTAGTGATATTCAACTTTTCACAAAAATTTTGTATCAGGAAATAAATTTATATTAAGAAAGTGACCGACACAGCTACAATGTGCACAAGCTCAGTCCAACTTAAATCTGGGGTCAGATGCAAGCTGGAGGCCCTTCTCAACTTATGCAGGTGCCGTTACGATGAACCAGAGTAGAAAGACCACAGAACTACAGAGGCAGAGTCAAGGGAATCCAAGGTCAACAAACAGCCTGGCAGGCTGCTGACAGTTCGCAGGGTCAGCAGGCCATGTCGTGGCCACCTTTCCAAGAAGCCAGATGCAGGCTCTAGGCCATCAGGTATAAGAAGATGAGAAAGTCAAGTCTCTATAGTGTCTCTTGCAGATAACAAATCAAAGACATCACACCCACGAGGAGACATCATTAGGCTGTGACCTGATTGAGAAGTTGGACTCCACCCACATCTTATAGGTGCAGCCACGTTAACACACAGCCTAGCTATCATGTGGTAATGATTTCTTTTAGAAGAATTAGCATTAGACTAGTTCCAAGGAGGTGGAGATTAAAGATGTCTCGCATGTCCAGATATTCCAAGATGTTAAAAGAGTCCCCAATCTGAAGTTCAGTGGTCTGTCTGGAGGATCCTCCTCACCTACAAGACTGAAGAAGCTGGTGAAACCAAACTGCAGCTCAAGCCCCAGGACCTGGAGGTCAGACAGAGGCAAACCAAAGCAGGGTCCAGGGCCCCAACCAAAAAATGTCTGAAAGTCAGAGCAGGTCTTTTGCTTCTACCACTGCTCACTAAGGAAGTAGAGATCACAGAAGGGAAGGCTTTGATTAAGTTTTTTAAAAACCTCACTGCCAACGACCCATCTTTCTCCATCAGAGCAACTCCATCTTAAGGATCACAGCTCAACACATAACCACTACACCACCAGGGATGGCTTGGATGGAGGTTTGTGTTTTGCCTTTAAGTAAACCATACCCCCAAGGAAATCAGTTTGTATCATACCAGTAAATGGGAGACTCAGAATATATCCTGCCTTAAACAGAGAACTCCTTTGGAAATAGCGTTCTAACCACAGGCAGAGAGGCCAGAGTTTACAGTGCATCACAAAGGAGATTGTAGCCACAAGGATCATGTTAAGTAATTGACTACATCTCTCAGAAGGGTTTTGATGAGTCAGAACAGATTTGACAGCACCTAACAGCAACAAGATTACAGTTACTTGTTTCCTCTGCCCTAGAAGTTCACAGAATACAATCATAAACATACTGGTTTTAAAATACATGCTAAATAAAACATATTTCTCTTTAGGATTTTAGTAATTTTTACATTATGAGGCATATACATTACCTATACAGTATTCTAGCTCACTAACAAAAATATGCTGTGCATTTTTACATTTTACTGTGATTAAAAATTCCAACTTTAAAACCTCAAGCAGTTTCTTCTTATTATTACAACAGCACTCATTTTAGCCCTGAAAACTCTTCAAGACAAGATTCATCGTTTAGAAATAGAGAGAACACAAGCTGAAGATAACTTGAACATACTGTCCAAAGAAGCTGCACAGTATAAAAAGGCTTTGGAGGATGAAACAAATGAGCGAAATTTGGCACACGAGGAACTGATAAAGCAGAAAAAAGGTAAGACAGTGTAACAGGTTCCAGAAATGGAGGGGTTACTGAAGTTTACAATTTGAAAATAATGTTCCCAGTCCAAATAAATTTACTTAAAGACTTTCTTACATACATGTAAACCTTGAGGCCTTGTTCTCAGGCATTCTGATACATGGGGGCAATTGATATATGCTTGAGATAAAAAGGAAAAATAAGTTCTTAGAAAAGTTCTATTTAGAAATTGGCGTGTTTTCAGGATAACTAAAAAATTCACTTTAAGCCATGATAGAACTCTCCAGTCAAAAACCAAGCCCACTGCAGTCAAGTCAGTTCCCGTTCAGGGACCCTTTTAGGGTTTCTGAAGTTAAAAATCTTTAAAGGAGCAACCTCATCTTTCTCTACCAACTACGTTTCCCGAGTCCCTTCATAAGGTAAATAGAATGCTTTATATTTTCAGATCTTTATTTTGAAAGTATAAAGCAATACTAATTAACAATATTTTAAAATCATAATAAAATAATTTTATAGAATTTGAGAATGGGCAAGTAAACAGAAGTTTTTGTGGAAATTATAAAAGCATGTGGACTAGAGTTTTAAGAATTTTGGCCATAAGTATTTTAAAAATTGTCCCATCGAAACCTGGCTTTTTTTTTACTATGATAATATATTCACCTTCATGAACAAGGTTTAATTGTGTTTTGACTTACAAATCGAGTGAAGAAATAGGAAGAAAACTTTTTCTGAGCTAATTGGGCAAAAACTGAATTAATGACCTAAGCATCAGAAGATGAGACTTGCTTGTGGACTTGACTGTGCTGTAAGTAGTCAAGAGCACAGAAAATGAGAGTGGCGGAGTACGTATCCCTGAGTTCCCTAAAGGAGTAGAAGTGTAATGATCAGGAAGAAACTTCAGGTCCTCTGTCTGAACAAATGGTGTCACTCTCCAGGACATCCGTTCTTTACTTCAGAGGTATGTCCTCTGGTTCTCTACGCGGAAGATCAACTTAAACTGGTTACTGATAAATGATGGAAAATTCATCATTTGTATTTTTCATAATTCAGCAAGAGTCAGTACTTGGAACTAAAGATGACTTGAACTTTTAACTCATGATTGAATTCACCCTCATGCATTTCCATCAGACCCAATTCTCTATGTGATCATCAACTAATGGACTCATTCCTTTTTCCCCACAGATATAAGTATACAGTTAAGCTCAGCCCAGTCTCGCTGCACTCTTCTAGAGAAGCAGCTAGAGTATACAAAGAGAATGGTTCTCAATGCAGAGCGAGAGAAGAATATAATCCTAGAGCAACAGGTGAGCATATTTCCTATAAGGAATAACAATAAAATTTAATATTTTTGAGGGATATTTAAAAACATTGAAAGGCTGCCATAGAACCTTAGGTAATATAGGATATAAAGTGGCCTACTTAGCTAAAAGTTTGGCCATTCCAACCTACCCACCCAGAGGCACCTTAGAAGAAAGGCCCTGGTGATCTACATCCCAAATTGGAATACACTTTGTTTGCATATGAAATTTCCGTGAGTCCTACCCACTATGATGGTTATACATCATTAGAAAAATGTACTATAGCAAGTTTCACCAGGTTGTGGAGCAATTGGAAAGCAGTTCAGTAGTTCTAAAGGTTAAACAGTATTGCCATTTAATGCAGCGGTTTACACTCCTGGGTATCTACCCAAAATAATTAAATGCAGGGATGCAAACATACCTGTGTACACCAGTGCTCATAGCAGCAGCATTCACAATAGCCAAAAGGGGAAATGAATACTAGTATCTAACAATCATGAATTGTTATTCAGACATAAAGAAAAATGAAGATCTGATATATACTATAACATAGATAAACCTGAAAACATTGTGCTGAGTGGATTAAGTCAGACACAAAACCACAAATTTTGCATGATCCCATTTATATGAAATATCTGTAAGTATATAAAACATTATTAGGCAAATCCATTTTTTAAAGTTGATTGATGATTGCTGAGTAAAGGAGGGAATGTGAAATGGGGCATGTTTGCTTCGACCATGAGGCATTTGAAAATGGATGGTGTTGATGGTTACACAATGGTGTCAGTATCACTGGTTGTACAGTTCATGGTTAAAATGACAGGTGTTGTCATATACTTTTTAACCTCAATAATTTTTTTATGTTTGCTAAAACTTAATGTTGATTGATACCATCTAAGACAATAGCTCTTTTATAGGATATTTTTCAATTATAAATGTATGTAACAGATATAAGATTATGATTTTGTTTCTTCTTGGATTTTGATTATTGTTCCTTCATCTCCTGTTTTATCCCTGGTATTAATAATATGTTTTCACTTCTAATTACCAGTCGACTTAGTACTCTATAAATTGTATTGATTTTTTTCAAAGAAACTTTTATATTTTTATTTTTCTACTTATGTCCTATTTTATTGATTTCCACTTTATCTTTTCTATTTTCTGCCTAAATGGACTTCAATGTGTTCTTTGTTCTTTCTAGCTTTTAATATAGAAGGTTTAAGTTATTGAATTGAAATCTTTCATTCATTTTTCAGTGTTTCATTTTGTAACTAAAACTATAAATTTACCTCTAACCAGTGCTTGCTTGACTCGTGACTTATAAATTTTAACATATTTCCGTTTTCATTCAATTCAAAATATTATTTCTCTGTTGACTT